CCTGCAGGAGCCTGGAGAACCAAACCCCTGCCAGATTCCTGAGGAAGCTGCTTCCTGGGGAGGCCACACGGGGTGTCCCTCAGGGCAGGGCTGGTGGCACCAGGACTCAGCTCATCTCTTCCCCCTGGGATGGTCCTGCTGGGGCCACACGAGTGTCACCAAACTCCTTGGAATCCAGAAAGGATCCAAATGGGAGGATTCCACCAAGGAGCTGCTTTCAGCTCCAGCTTCTCCTGTCTCCCCCAGGGATGCTCTGTGTCCCCAGGGGTGCTCTTTGTCCATTTGGGGTGCCTTGTGTCCCCCCCAGGGATGCCCTGTGTCCCCTCAGGGTGCTCTTTGTCCCCCCCAGGGGTGCTTTCTGTCCCCTTGGGGTGCTCTGTGTCCCCCCTGGGATGCTCTGTATCCCCAGGGATGCTGTCTGTCCCCTCAGGGTGCTCTGTGTCCCCAGGGATGCTCCATGTCCCAGGAACAACAACTGTTCCTCATCACCTCTCCCAACAGGTGTAACAACCAGGCCAGAAGAGGCCAAAGTGGCTCTTCCCAACCCCCCTGGTTGGGACACAAGACACCCCACAAAACATAATTAATGTGTCACTTTAAATTAATGAATAGTAAGTAAATAACAGTGATAAGGAGCAGCCCCTGGCTGGGGTGAGGGGGGCAAAGACCCAGCAGCTTCACTGAGGGAGGTGGTTCAGGTCAGGGTAGGAGAGAGGGGTGGAAATCCTGGTTTGTTTTCCCATGGATCTTGCATCAAACCTTTTTCCTGTGCTCGTTGCTTTAACCCTTCCCTGCAATGCCAGGGTGTCTCCCATTCCAGGGTGTCTCCCATTCCAGGGTGTCTCCCATTCCAGGGTGTCTCCCATTCCCTTCAGCCAAGGACACAGGGGTTATTCCCTAGATCCACCCTCCCTGTGCTCATCTGTCCCAGCAGAATCACCAGGAGCTGCTCAGTCCAATCACCACAGGAATGAGGAGAATCCCAAGGGCAGGGCCTGACCTCTGGCATTCCCATGGCTTCATTTGGAGCTCACTCTTCCCACTGAGCCCTGGGAAGGCTCTTCCTGGGCTCAGGAACCTGTTCCAGCCCCAGGATGTTCATTCTGATGAGTTTTGCCTTTTAGCAGATCCTGTCTCTGAAAACCTTGGTGCCTGCAGAGCTCAGAGTGACTTCATGCTGATGTCATTTGTCTGGAATTCTGTTTTCCAGCCTCAACCAGCAGCCAGAGGTTTGAGGAAGCTCATTTCACCTTTGCCCTCACACCCCAGCAGGTCCAGCAGATCCTCACCTCCCGGTAAGACCCCCTGGGGTCCCTGCCTTCAAAACCTACCCAGACTGGGGGCAAAAAGGGGAAATCCCTCCATGTCTGTGCTGCCCACAGCCTGGAGACCTGCAAAGTGCAGTTGTGGTGGGGGAAATGGGATTCTATGTGGCATTGGGATAAAAATTCAGGACTGTTCCTCCCCCTGTGAGTCATTTCCTGGCCTTGGTGGGGCTGGACCTGCCCTTGTGCTCCTGTAACTGCAGCAGGAAGGAGCTTTGAGCTTGGTTTTCATGGAGTCATGGGATGGGTTGGGTTGGAGGGACCTCCAAGATCATCCAGTCCCACCCCCCCCACGGGCAGGGACACCTCCCAGCAGCCCAGGCTGCTCCAAGCCCCATCCAACCTGCCCTTCAACACCCCCAGGGATGGGGCAGCCACAGCTTACCTGGGCAACCTGGCCCCGGCTCTCCCCACCCTCACACTCCACAATTCCCTCCTCAGCTCCAACCTCCAGCTCCCTCTCCCACTTTTCATCCCTCCCCCTCATCCCATCCCTCCCTGCCCTTGGCCCAAGTCCCTCCCCAGCTTTCCTGGAGCCCCTTCAGGCCCTGGAAGCTGCTCTCAGCTCTCCCTGGAGCCTTCTCCTCTCCAGGCTCAACACCCCAACTCTCACCCTGTCCCCAGAGCTGCTCCTCCCTCACTTTCTTCTTCTCCCACCACTCATGGTCAAGGCCTTTTGTTGTCCCTCCCTCTTTGGGAATTAATTTTGGATCAGGTATCACCATTTTTTCCAAGTCACCTGCAAGGTTTTCAGTCCCAGTGCAGCTCTCATGTCTCCCTCTCATTATCATTGAATGAATTAGCTCAATAATTAATTCCCTGTGAAGTGCAGACAGACCTGAGCCCTTTTCTGTTGCAGGGACATCCTCCCTGGTGCCAAGTGTGATTACACGACCCAAGTGCAATTAAGGTAAGAAAATGTTTCCTTTCTGGGTGTGTCCCAGTCCCTGGGGTGATCCCATGGGATCCAGTTTTCCCTGGTGTTGGTGATTCTCACTTTCACCTCTGGGCCTGGTTGGAAGTTGTGTCTTGATTCACTGCCAGGATCTTCCTGAGGGAGTTGTCAGGTTGTCTGTTCCCTCTGGGTGACACTTGGGTGGCACATGTGACAAATGTGTCATCTCAGCAAGCCCAGAGTTCTGCCCCATTCCATGGAATTCTCCTCTTCCCCTTCTCCCTTTGAATGATCTGCCTGGTTGTAGGTTGGTTGCAAAAGGCAGGAGCTTCAAATCTGAGCCATGTTTAGTATTTAGGATGAAGGAAAAGTCAAGATGTTGGGAAGTGTGAGGAGGAAAATACCTGGAAGGGCTTCCTCTGGTCCCTGCTGGGTGGTTGTGGAGGTGCCTGCAGCACTGGAGAGGAGCTGAGGAGCCTCTTGGCAGGGTTAAAATGGTTCAGTTTTATTATCAGGTGTTTGAACTTGGCAAAGAGACTGAGGGAGAAAGAAGGGAGGAGGAAAAAAAAACAAGGGAGGAGGAATTTTCAGTTGTGGTACCTGGAAGTGTCAAGGAAAGGGGTTGTTTGGAGACTCTGATGTGACTCAGACATGAGCCTGTTGGGCCCCAGGAGGGTGTTTGATATTAATTAAGGAATGAATGATGATTCTGTGGCAATTTCTCTCTGATCTGGTGCTTCCCAGTTCTCCTGCTGGGTCCATCTGTTCTGTGGAGCAGACTGGGCATCCTGTTCCCTGGAATGCTGCAGGAGGTGGATCCCTGGAGGTGGCTCCTCAGGAAAACAAAAGCCCAGCTTTCCATTCCATCCTTTGTTTTCTTTGGCAAGGAGGGAGAGGCCAACAAACAATGAGCTGGGGTTTGTTTTCTGAGGACACTTGTAGTGGGATGTGCCAGGGCTGAGGTCACCACCCGGGTCAGGGCCCTGTGGCAGGAGAACAGACCCTTCCTGGAAGGAAAACGGGGAAACTGGGATTAGGGGCTGAACCAGAGTCTGTTGGGAGTTGCTGGTGCTGCGGGTTGGCCTTGAGTACCTAGAAAATAATGGAATCATGGAATGGTTTGGGTTGGAAGGGACCTTAAAGACCATCTAGATCCAACCCCCTGCATGGGCAGGGACACCTCCCAGCAGCCCAGGCTGCTCCAAGCCCCATCCAACCTGCCCTTCAACACCCCCAGGGATGGGGCAGCCACAGCTTCCCTGGGCAACCTGGCCCAGGCTCTCCCCACCCTCCCACTCCACAATTCCCTCCTCAGCCTCAACCTCCCCAATTCCAGTTCAAATCCATCCTTCCTCCTCCTCTCACTGCACTTCCAGCCCAGGAAGTTGTTTCTCCCCTTCCCAAGGGCCCTTTGGCCTCTGGTTTCTTGGCAGATCTCACTCACTCACTCACTCACTCACTCACTCACTCACTCACTCACTCACTCACCACCTTCTCCCTCCTGCTCCTCAGGTTCTGCCTGTGTGAGACCAGCTGTCCCCAGGAAGATTACTTCCCTCCTAATTTATTTGTCAAGGTCAACGGGAAACTCTGTCCCCTCCCTGTGAGTAAATCTTGGTTTCTTCTCAACCTCTTGTCCCTCCTGGAGGAGAGAAGGTGCTGAGGTTGGAGGGCACAAACCCTCCTGGAGGGTTGAAGCTGCTCCCTCATGCAGGGAGTGTGGCCTTTGGAGCAGGAGGACACATTTTGAGCCTGATTTTTGTGGGGTTTTCACCTCTTGGGTGGGTTTTTTTTTTTTCCCCTCTCTTGGGTGGGTCGTTTGGTTTGGTTTTTCTTTTGTGAGGTGAAACTTGGGTGATCAACACCTAGAGTAAAAGCTGGGGGGGTGAACAGCCCTGCAGGTTGTCAGGCTGCAGGAGGACCTGGCTGGGCCACTTGAGCCTGGAGTCCTTCACCCTGGCTAAAAAAAAATGAGGAAAAATGGGTTTTTTCCCCCATTTCTCCCCATTTTCCAGCCCCAAGAAGGGCCCTGGTTGGTGCAGAGCTGCTCCCTTCACCCTTGGAGACACTTGCATGTTTCCCTCCCAGATGTTCTCTCTGCTCTTGGCCCAGACACTGAGGAACCTGCTTTTTTTAGAGGGAACTAAAAGGAAATAAAAATAGAGAGAGGTCGTTCCTGCCCTGGTGGAGCAGAAAGAGGGAAGTTAGTGGGAGGTTGGAGGGTCTGAGCTCCCTGCTGAGAGTTCCTGTTGGTGGGGATGAGTCATGGGCAGCTGAGAGGCTGCTGGGGGTTGTCCCAGCCCAGCTCCTGCTGGTCCCTTCTGCTCAAGCTGGTGGCCAAAGGGTGGTGTGAACCTCCCTGAATTCCAGGAGGAGGCACAGGGTGAGATTCTGAGCAGGCTGGAACGTGGGTGTCAGGAAGCAGAAATGAGCTCAAGGGGAAATCTGGCCCAGGCTGCAGTTTGTTTTTTGAGCTGCCCAGCCTCGTTGAACTGGGTTTGGTTGGGAATTCAGCACCAGTTCTGCACCTCCTGGCCTGACAGGTCTGTGGAGAAGTTCAGCTCAGGGTGGGATCCCAGAGTGCTCGTCAACGTGGGCATTAGAGGGAACCTTTATCCTGCTTTCCTTGATGCCCTGGATAAATGTGGGTATTAGAGGGGAACCTGAACTCTCCATTTCACTTCTGTCAAGGGATAATAATGCCCTGAGATGTGTAGGTAGATCCTCACCCAAGCTCTGAGGTGAAACGTCTGGAGCCACAACCTGCCCTGGGGAGGATCAGGGACCCACGGAGCATCTGGGCTGGGACCTTTAAAGGTCCAGCCCTGCTGCAGGGAGCAGAGACCTCTTGGTTTGTGGAGCCTGGTGCCTCTGGGGGAGGGGGTTGTTTCACCCCAGATAACCTCTCTTCCCTTCCTTCCTCCTTCCCCCCTCCCTGGGCAGGGTTACCTGCCCCCCACCAAGAACGGCGCCGAGCCCAAGCGCCCCAGTCGCCCCGTCAACATCACGGCCCTGGCGCGGCTCTCGGCCACCCACCCCAACATCATCGTGGTCAACTGGTCCTCGGAGTTTGGCAGGGTGAGGAAACCAGCTCTGGGTCCTCCCAAGGGCTGGGTGGCAAGGCTTGGGGCTGCTGGGAAGAGTCCAGGCTTTCTGTAGAGTCCACGGGATGGGTTGGGCTGGAGGGACCTGAAAGAGCATCTAGATCCCACCCCCCCATGGGCAGGGACACCTCCCAGCAGCCCAGGCTGCTCCAAGCCCCATCCAACCTGCCCTTCAACACCCCCAGGGATGGGGCAGCCACAGCTTCCCTGGGCAACCTGGCCCAGGCTCTCCCCACCCTCACACTCCACAATTCCCTCCTCAGCTCCAACCTCCAGCTCCCTCTCCCACTTTTCATCCCTCCCCCTCATCCCATCCCTCCCTGCCCTTGGCCCAAGTCCCTCCCCAGCTTTCCTGGAGCCCCTTCAGGCACTGGAAGGTGCTCCAAGGTGTCCCCAGAGCCTTTTCCAGCAGTGCTGCCCCTTTCCCACAGAACTACTCCCTCTCTGTGTACCTGGTGAAGCAGCTGACCTCGGTGGCTCTGCTGCAGAAGCTGAGAGCCAAGGGCATCCGCAACCCCGACCACTCCCGAGCCCTCAGTGAGTACCCCACCCCTGGGAACACCTGGCTGTGCCCGAGCCACAGCTGGGAATGCTGAGCAGGCCCCAGGGAGTGAGCCCAGGGCATCCCTGAGACCTGGCTGAGAGTTGGGGAGATGATGCTGAGGGGTTTCTCCCTCCATGAGGTCGCTCAGGAAAGCTCCAGATCAAACCCTTCCTTCCTGGTTGCTTCCCATCCCTTGGGACACTTCCCAGCCTTTGTCCCTGGAGTGGGAACAGGGCCCTCACTGCTCACACCCCAACTGAGTCCCCACAGCCACAGTTTTACACACAGGCTGTAAAACCTGTCCAGGCAGGAGAGTCTGTGCTGTTGCTGGTCATGGCAGTGACATCTGCTGCCAGAGCCCTTCCCTGCCTGCACCTGGGGTGAGAGGTGTCCTGGAATCCTGTCTGGGGGCATTTCTGTGTGTGAAGGGGGGAGGATGTTGACAGGAGACCCTTTTATTCCCCTTTCTTCTTTTTCTTCCAGTCAAAGAAAAGCTCACAGCAGACCCTGACAGTGAGATTGCCACCACCAGCCTACGTGTTTCCCTCATGTGTCCAGTAGGTTCCTGCCTTTTTTTCCTCCCTTTCCTTGGCCAGGTCTTTCCCAACAGCTTTTCCTGCTTTTCCTTCCCCTTGCCTGGGAACCCTTGGCAGCTCCTGCTGAGAAGTCAACTTTGATTCCTAAAGAAAACCCCAACCTCTTGGTTTCATGGTTGGCCTGAGCTGCCTAGCCCCAAAATGTCCTTGTTGGCCCAATCCTTCTTCTTCCTCTTCACTCGTAGCAGGTGTTTGAGGTGGAAATGAGCTGAAAAGGGTAAAAACACTCTCAGGAAAGCTGGGTTTCTGTCAGACACTTGATTAAACCTCTTGTTGAATAGGCTGGGGTGCTGGGCTGGGGAGAATCATGGAATCATCATGGGATGATTTGGGTTGGAAGGGACCTTAAAAACCATCCAGATCCAACCCCCTGCATGGGCAGGGACACCTCCCACCAGCCCAGGCTGCTCCAAGCCCCATCCAACCTGCCCTTCAACACCCCCAGGGATGGGGCAGCCACAGCTTCCCTGGGCAACCTGGCCCAGGCTCTCCCCACCCTCACACTCCAGAATCCCAGGGAGAGGGGAGGGCACAGCTGCCCTGGTGCTGGGAGAGGCTCGTTTGTCCAAACCCAACTTGAGTTCCTGCTCCTTGTCCCCAGCTGGGGAAGATGAGGCTGGTGGTTCCCTGCAGAGCCAGCACCTGCAGCCACCTCCAGTGCTTCGACGCCGCCCTCTACCTGCAGATGAACGAGAAGAAACCCACCTGGACCTGCCCCGTGTGTGACAAGAAGGCCCCCTATGACACCCTCATCATTGATGGGTGAGCTGGGCAGGCTCCTCAGCCTGGCTTGGGGCTTCCTTGGGAGGTGGATCCCCTGCTGCTGGGGTGCACAGACCTCTCAGGTCACCTCCAGGCTGGGTTTCCATTCCCTGAGCTGCTTCTGGGGGTTCCTTGAGAGGTGGGTCCCCTGGTGCTGGGGTACCCAGACCCCTCAGGTCACCTCCAGGCTGGGTTTCCATTCCCTGAGCTGCTTCTGGGGGTTCCTTGAGAGGTGGGTCCCCTGGTGCTGGGGTACCCAGACCCCTCAGGTCACCTCCAGGCTGGGTTTCCCTTCCCTGAGCTGCTTCTGGTGCCACTCAGGAGAGATTCCTCCTGAAGAACAAGAAGCCTTTGTCCAAATCTTGGCTTCCTCGCTGGCATCTCCTTGCTCTCTGAGGCTTGAACAGAGCCCTCCTGTGTCCATCCAGCAGCCTGTCCTAAATCCTGACTTGCCAGGTGATCCTGGCAGGGATTCAACAGGAATTCTTCCCTTTAACCCACCTCCTGAGCCCCGTTGCTGCTGTGTTGTCTGCCCTGCATGGATTGATGCCCCAGACCCTGGCCCTGTTTGGCTCCCCCAGACCCTGGCCCTGTTTGGCTCCCCCAGACCCTGGCCCTGTTTGGCTCCCCCAGACCCTGGCCCTGTTTGGCTCCCCCTGGCCCTCCCCTTTAACCCACCTCCTGAGCCCCGTTGCTGCTGTGTTGTCTGCCCTGCATGGATTGATGCTCCAGACCCTGGCCCTGTTTGGCTCCCCCAGACCCTGGCCCTGTTTGGCTCCCCCAGACCCTGCTGTCTCTCCCCAGCCTGTGTTCTCTCCCCTCCCAGGTTGTTCATGGAAATCCTGAATTCCTGCACGGACTGTGATGAGATCCAGTTCATGGAGGATGGTTCCTGGTGCCCCATGAAGCCCAGGAAGGAGGGCCCAGAGCTGTGCCCAACCCCTGCCTTTGGGGGCATCGAGGGTAGGGATCTGTGCCCCTTCTCTGTGCCCCTTCTCTGGGTGTCCCTCTTTGCCACAACAACCTTGAACACTTGGGAGCATCTCAGGTCCCATCTGGACCTCACACCAGGGCAGGAATTCAACCCCTCCCTGTGCTGGGGGGGGGTGCAAAGGCAGCTTCCTCTGGGAACTGCAGCAGGGTGGGGGGTGGAGAACCAGCCCCTCGGTGTGTGGGGGGGGGAGGGTTGTGTGTCCTGGGCTTGGTTTTGGAAGTGGGAGCTCATCCCAGGAGGTGGGAGGGGATGGGGTTTTGCTCCTCTGCCTTCCAGCTGATCCCTGGTTCTTCCTCCCCCTCCTCCCCCTCGCAGCCAGTTCCCTTTACAGCGTCAGCCCCGAGGGCAGGAGCTCCTCGGAGGGGAAGAAGAAGGTGGAGGTGATTGATCTGACCCTGGACAGCTCGTCGGATGAGGAGGAGCCACCGCCGGCCAAGAGGCCCTGCCCACCCCCCGGCCCGGCAGCCAAGGGGTGAGGGGCACCAAGGGGCTTCTTCCTGCTCCCTTCCCTGGGCACTGCTGGCCTGGCAGGTCCTGGGGGCCTGGGCAGTGGCAGAGCTGGGTGCTCTGACAGTGAGAAACAGGTCCTGGTGTCCTCACAGGGACAGGTCCTGCTTTTCCTGGCAAGGACAAACAGGTCCTGGTGCCCTGGGAGGGGCAAAGAGATCCTGGGTTCCCTGGCAGGCACAGATCCTGGTGTCTTGGCAGGGACAAATAGATCCCAGTCCCCTCACAGTGGCAGATCCTGGTGCCCTGGCAGGGACAGACCCTGAGCCACCCTGTCCCAGGGAAGCCCTGTCCCTGCTTCCCACTCCTGGCCAGCTCCAGGTGACCCAGTGGGACAAGGGGTGGGTGGGTTTGTCCTGCTGGAGGTGGGTGGCATTGGGGGGGGGGATTTGCAGCAGTTCCCCCTGGACTCCACTGAGGCTCCTGGGCTCTGTTCCCTGTCCCAGGGCACTGGGGCTGGACCACCAACCCTCCTGCTCTGTTCCCTGTTCCAGGGCACCCTGGACTCCACACTAACCCTCCTGCTCTGTTCCCTGTTCCAGGGCACCGGGGCTGGACCACCAACCCTCCTGCTCTGTTCCCTGTTCCAGGGCACTGGGGCTGGACCACTAACCCTCCTGCTCTGTTCCCTGTTCCAGGGCACCGGGGCTGGACCACCAACCCTCCTGCTCTGTTCCCTGTTCCAGGGCACCAGGGCTGGACCACCAACCCTCCTGCTCTGTTCCCTGTTCCAGGGCACCAGGGCTGGACCACCAACCCTCCTCCGTGCTCCGCAGCCCCCCGCTGGCAGCTCTGGGCACTGATTATCTCTCCAACCTCCCCCTTCCCGACTACCACCCCTCCTACCCGGTGTCCTCCGAGCTCCAAGGTAACCTCGGGCAGCACTGACCCAACATAACCAGCTTTCCCAGACTGTCCCAGTTGAATCCCAGAAGAACGAGTGGTGGGGAGGGTTGGAAGGGACCCTCTGGAGATCATCCAGTCCAGCCCCCTCTTGCTAGAGCAGGGTTTCCTGGAGGAGATCCCACAGGAATGTGTCCAGGGGGGTTGGAATGTGCAAGGGGGGGACCAGGGGGGTGTGCAAGGGGAGGTTTTGACCAGCAGAACAGCTCAGGTTGGTTAGTGGAGATCACAGGCAGGAACAAACTGGGTTTTGGTGCCAGGAACTGTGGCCTCCTCTCCTGGGCTCCCCCTCTTCCTGAATGTTCCCTCACCCACCAGGAGGGAAGAGGCCCCAGCCCAGGAGGGACTCCTGAACAATCTCCCATTCCCTTGTGGGGATCCCCAGGAGTTCCTGATCCCTTTCAGGCCTGGGTTGGGGGGCAGGGGGGCTGCAACCTGGGGAGGGGGGGGAGGGATGGGCTGGGGTCACCCCCAGACCCCCCTGCCCCTTTCCATGCCCCCCCTTGCTGCCTGGGGGCCTTGCTGGGTTCCGGACCCTGCAGCAGCTTTTCCCAGGGGGGTCCTGGTGTCACCACCTGAGCTGCCCCAGCCCTTGGGGGGGGGGGTTCTGGTGCCAGCAGCTCTGGGGAGGTGACATTTGCCTCGTCCTGGGCTGGTTGGTGCTGAGGCCCCTCCAGGGGTTGCAGGAGCAGAGCTGGGGGTTGTGGTGGAGCCAGAGCTCAAGATAATCGTGGTCTCCAGGAGGTGGGAGCAGCCTGAGCCCATCACCTCCCCCCTGGGCACCTTGGCTCCCCTTCCCACCACTTTTATTTACCACAGAGAGATTTTGGGTTTTTTACCCCTTTTTTCCCCTAGGTCTGGATTTGTTTTCCTTCCTTCAAAGTGAAAACCAGGTAAGGTTGTGCTGGGTTGGTTTTTTTTTTCCATTTCCTTTTTGTTTGTCTGTCTTTGTTCCCCTCTCCTGGCCAGATCTGCAGCCTGGCCCAACCCCAACCTGCCCCCTCCATCCTGGTTTCTCTGGGAGAACTGGTGTGGGATGGGGAGGAGGTGGCAGCTCAGATTCCACCCCCCCAGGGCTCCTGCCCCTCTTCATTCCCAGCTTCCCTGGGATCCAGAGTTGCTGGGGGCTCAGGGGGGGGGGAAGAAATTTAGGAAGGAGACCTCAAAGGTCCCTTCCCACCCCACACAGTCTGGGCTGAGAATTCCCTGCTCTGGGGAGATCCCACCTGGGGAGCAGGGAGGTTGGGCTGAGGGTCCTGCCAGCAGCTCAGGACAGGGATGTGGTTCCTGGTGGTTCCAGCTCCTCTCTCTGTGCTGGGCTGTTCGTGGCTCTGCCTCCCTCACCCCTGGACTGCCCTGGGTTTGTTGATGGGTTGAGCTCTTGGGGAAACTGGTCCATTGATCCCACAGGATTTGGGGCTGGGATCTGTGGGATCTGACCCAGCTTGTTCTCCCTTCCCTCAGCAGCACTACAGCCCCTCGGTCATCACCTCCCTGGACGAGCAGGACACCCTGGGCCCTTTCTTCCAGTACAGGGGCACATCCAACCACTTCCTGAACGTCAGCCCCCTGGGCCCCCCCATGGGGGGGACCCACAGGATCAGCAGCATCGTGTCCCCCGGGACCCTGCGCCAGAGCCACGGGCACAGCCCGGCCCTGCCCGCCCGCCCCGACGTCATCTCCCTGG